GAACCTTAAGGAAAAACCCTAGAATCGTTGGAGCTCATTTACCAAGCTGTGGTTAATCAATTACCAAGTTATGGTCCCTCATAAATTTTTTTAATCGAGATTTGTAACAACTGGTGTTTGAGGAGCTTTCAAATCTGTGAAGTTTTTGCCTCTTGGGTGCGATCACAAGAGAGGAACTCTACGTTGGGTTCTTAAGTTTGATCAACTTACTAGAAAAAAGAAATCTAAAAGAACATGAAGGTATGATTACTTTTTTTATGTTCTTAAAGTTGCATAGATTTATTTCAGTTAGATCTGCATGTTTCGAGTCTATAGATAAGAAAAAGTTGTCGCCTCCACTGTCCGATTTAGTCTTTGACTAGGCTTGAAACCCATCAGTGGTATCAGAGTGTTTGGTTAACTCAAGTCTATTGCACTCGGACTTTGTCTCTGATTGTATGTTATGGTTTGTATATGTAGGATTTATGTGTTTCATCATTATAAATATTATATAAATTTTCCTTGTTAAAATCAAATCTGTTATGGTTGAGAAAATGACTTTCGGGCCATTTTGCCTATTCGCCACGTCGTGGCTGGTCTTCCACCACATCTTTGTTCATGCTGGTTCTGAATCAAAATAGAGAATGTATCGTTGCCACACCATGGTCCTTACCTATACACATCATGGCGTGCTTTTGAAAACATAAATTTTCATTTAATGATTGTCTTGTTTTTTCTGTCCCATGAAATGGTTTCCCATTCCCCATGTCATGGAAAATGAGTTCTAGATTTATAAATTTGTTCCTTGTTTAGGTTGCTTCATTCCTTTTCGATTTTAAAACACATACAAGGCTTTGGCAGGCCCTAAGGCTTCCCAATGGAAAGAGGCAATAGATAGCGAGATTCAATCCATGTATGATAACCAAGTTTTTGAATTTGGTTGATCATACACCTGGTCTGAAGACGATGGGTTGTAAATGGATCTTTAAAAAGAAGGCCGACATGGATGGGAATGTACACATGTTCAAAGCTAGGTTGGTGATGGAGGGATCTACTCAAACCCCAGGGATTAATTATGGCAAAACCTTCTAACTAATAGCTAAGATCAAGTCAATTAGGATAATGCTTTCCATAGTTGCCTTATATAATTATAAGGTATGAAAAATGGATGTTAAAACACATTTCATTAATGGAAAATTAATAGAGGATGTCTATATAACATATGTAGAGGTATTTGAACATGCCAAATATCTTAATATGGTGTGCAAGCTTGAAAAGTCAATCTATGGACTTAAACAAACATTTTGTAGCTGAAGTCTTTTCTTTTATGAGAAGGTCAAAGGGTTTGGATTTTGTAGAAGTGAAGATGAGTCATGTTTGTAACATAATATAAAATTGAGTGAGTCTCAATGTTCTAGTAGTGATGATGAAATGGACAGATTAGTTGAGTTCCATACGCTTCAGCTATAGGATCAATCATGTATGTTATGATTTGTACTCGTCTTGATGTCTTATATGCGTTCAACATGGTAGGTAGATATCAGGAAAACCCTAGCAGAAGTCATTGGACAAAAGTAAAGAACATTCTTATGTATTTAAGAAATACAAAAGATATACTCTTGATTTTTGGAGGAAAAGATGAACTTAAAGTGAGTAGGTTTAGTGATGCTAGTTTTTAAACAAATAAATATGAAATTTGTTCATAATTTGATTCGGTGTTCTTGTTGAATATTGGTGTAGTGACTAGGAAAAGTTCCAAGTATAAGGTTGTGGCAAACTCGTGAGTTTGAGTATATTGCAGATAGTGAAGCCACAAAGTATGCAACATTGTTAAAGAATTTCATTAGCGATCTCGGAGTTATTCCATAAATCTAATAACCAATGGAAATCATATGTCATACTTAGGGATAATTCGCCTTAACTAAAGAACCAATGGAAATCAAGGCACATACTTAGGAAATACCACTACATCATATATAGGGTGGAAGGCACTGACATCATGGTGAATAAGGTAGCATTAGAGGACAAGCTGACTGATCCTTTCACAAGTGCATTGATTAAGATCAAGCACTTCGAGCATGCTAATAGTATAGGCATAAGAGTTTACATTAGTTTTAGTACTTAGTTAATATTTGAAACAAGTGTAAAAGTGATAAGTTGTAAATGATTTTATGATAAATAATAGTGATTAATTTATAAGTTAGTGAACTACCATCTTCAATTTTTGTAACATTCATATTAGAGCTAAATTACATTTCCAACCCTTATGTGTGAGAACTGTTGCAAATTGCCCATAGTGGCATTTTTGTAATTTTTGGGTGAGACGTGTGTATGCTCGGTGTACATTGAGTACACACATCATACGTAGTAGGACCCTATTTAAAATTTATGAAGTCCCAAGTTCCTTTCCTCTCATCAGCCTCCGATGCTCATTTCATCCATAACAAACCCTAATCCTTTTGGCGTTTTCTTTGAGCTTTTAAGTGTATGTTTTGCTGTCGTTGAAGCAAATAGAAGATTGAAGAACGACATTAAAAGATTAAGGCCACTTAGATCTAGAAACACCTCACCTACAAGGTTCATTTTGAGGTATAAAGTTGAAATTGATGATTATATCTCTAGATCCTTTTAGTTTTGGATGTTTATGCTTATTAGCCCCATAATCTTGGTCTATTTGGGTATGAGCTAACCTAAAACAAATGAGTTGGCCTTTTGGACTTGTTAGAGTGTTTTGAGTGATAAAAATGTGATCTTAGGTCTTCATTTCCCTCCATGTAAATGTTGAAATGTCATAATGGGATAAAAAGTTAGGGTTTTAGCCTTTGGTCTAATTATGCTCTTAATAAGAAGGAAAAAGGGTCAGGTGGATAAGCTGGGCGAACCTAATAGTACGCTATGCGTATGCAATTAACATCTCTTAATTGGTCAAAGCTTGAGTATTATAGATGTCGAATATTGTTGTGAGGTGTCGAAGGTTATAGATAGTTTCGATAGTTTTGTTATTTTATTATAAGGGCACTTTATGTATCGAAGCTTCTAGTGTTCAGTACCTTATATTTTTTGTGTGCTTTCATGATCCCTATAAATATGGGATGTGTACCAGATTTGGTCATCTGGTTTTGATGATGATGAGATGCGAAACCCTACACATGGAGCTATGTTCGTGATGCATGAAGGAGAAGATCAAGAGAACGTAACTTGGAAGTGATTTGTTTTGACATCTTCATACAAATCACCAATGAAATCTTAGGTACGTTCTCTTTTACAATCTTTTAATATTCCTTTAAGTATATATAATTCGATTTTATCTGAGTTTGATGCAGCAATTACTTATGTTAATGATCTACTTATTTATGCTAGTAATGATGCTAAGAAGTCGAGCAAATTACTATTAGAAACTCATAGGATGTTGGATTCGAAGAAAGAGAAAAATATAATACTTAGATTTAAAAATAACGAATCTTATGTGTGATAGGGATAGTTTGAGTGCTGATGTTAAGCTGTTGTTAAAACAAAGAAATATCTATTGTAATTCAGCCAAACGTTTATATGGTAAATTGGCAGCATTGCATCATTCATTAGATATTAGTAAAGAACAACATAGGAAAGTTTTACCCTTTTTAGCATTTGAAAGGGAAAAAATTGATTATATTTCTTATGACTGCAAAAAGACAATTGCTGAATTCGATAGGGTTCCAGATAATAGATATGCATATGGTATAGTGAAAATTAATGAATGTCTGGATGCTAATGAATTAGTTGATATTGTAAATGAAATCTTGAAAAAAAATGAACAAATGAAGATTTTGAAAAGAACTGAGAACTTGAAAACTAACTGTCAAACTAATTTTGCTGATATCGAAGATGATTCTGATGATATTAGTGAAATTGAAGAAGAAGAAGTTGGTGATTCTTCTTAGTTGTCTGTCATTAATGTCACATAAATGGCTAAAGGCAAAGAAAAATGTAAAGATTCTATGTTTAAAATTTACACTACTCTCTCTATCTCTCAAGTAGTGCCTAATGAAATTTGAAGCAGGAGAACCTTATGAACACCTCAATTTTGAAAGTTCATGATCTTGACCATGTGACTGTCGAAGTTTGTCAAACAGACAGTGATGATGACAATGATGATGTTCCGAAAGAAACAAAAATTTCAAGGGTTGTAGTTGATCTGGTTTTTTGACGAAACTGAGAAATTCGACAACATTATGAAGGAAAAAGGTTCTCATTAACTTGAAACAAATACAATTCTGTATCCAAATTTCAAATGCTCAGACGAGGTTATCTTTCCGAATCAGGTTTTTGTCACAACAAGGAATAGTGATAAGATTAAACCTGAGTTTCATAAAATGGTTGAAGAAGACAACAAGAAGGCATTAAAAGAAGGATTTTTCTCAAACCAAAGTACCATCGAAAACAATCTAACAAAGAATTCTTGAACTTTTTAATGAAAAAAACCACAAATAATTTTGGGTTGAAAAATCAAAAGATGTTTCAAAACATGTTGAAATTGTTTCACAACATGTCAAAATTAATTATCAATAATTTAATGAACAAATTGAGCAGACACTACTAGAAAAACAGCCTTTTACGACGCTCATTGCGCGTCGTAAAAGGCTCAGATGACGTGCAAATGCACGTCAAGGAAGGTTGTGTCATAAAGAGAGACGACACGCAATTACGACGCGCGTTTACGACACGCAATGCGTATGAAGGAAGGCCCTGTCATAAAGGAAGACGACACGCTTTCACGTGTCGTAACCTTACGACGCGCGTGTTAATAACACGCAATGCGTATCAAGAAAGCCCCTGTCAAGAAAGGCCATGTGATAAATGTAAATGACACACATTTTTGCGAATCGTAAATTTAGATATTTAAAAAAATATATATTTATATATTTATTAATTTTTAAATTAAATTTGCATTTAATGTGTCATAATTGAAATAAAATACCATATACAAAAAAATACAATCCATTGCATAAACTTTAATGTCATACAATTCTATTTCTTACAATATATAAATTTGCATTCATCTAATCTACTCTATGTTTCATACTAACAATTGAAATGAAGAATACAACACTTGCATTTTCAGCATCTTATCTGTTTCGGCTTGAGCTTTCTTTTCCACTTCTAACTCGAGAGCTATTCGCTTTCATCAACCCTGTAAACACAACACAAAATCACTTGTCATTTTCATTCTACTTTTATGTTTACTAGTCAATCCTTCAACTTTCTTTACTAATTAGATTCACCTGGCACCAATATTGCTGATGTTTACTAGTCAATCCTTCAATCTATCATATGAAGTATGAAAAATATGAACAATAGGAAATGAAAGTTCAAAATCCTAACCAAACATCCTAGATATATAACATTATGCCCTCCTGGTGCTTGTCTTCCTGACAACACAACTTTTATCTTCAAGGCAGATCCTAATTCATTAGATTCACCTGGCACCAATATTGTTGATGGTTGCCCAAACTGGGATGGGAAAAGTTTTGCAATTTCATCTGAAAGCATTTGAACAAGCACAACTAAAGTCATAATCCTTCATCTTTACACTCAGTCTGTGCAGGTGATCAGATGTGTTTAGCAATTCTTTTATGTGATTTTAGATTATAAAAAACAAATCACCAATTTGTTTAGTACCGGTTCGTTTTTACAGTAGTTTCACAAGGTATTTATCGTAAGCAGTTAACTTTAAAACTCAAAATGCAAAATTCGATCATAAAACCTAATTAACATCTACACACAACGTAATCAGTTAACATAGCTAGAAAAACACTTAAATTCTTGTTTATCCAATGCAGCAGTGACTGAATTAGAAAGATTATTATCAATCCATCATTAAAAAGACTCTGATCTATTGTTATCATAGCATAAATAGTTTTGCTTTTACAGGGGTTGTAAATTCACTTCAGTATCAATATGAAGTGAGAAATACCTGGATTTCCGACAGTGGAGCTAGCGGGACCATCGGCGATTTTGAAGGGGCTTCTTGAGCAAGCGACAAGTCCACAGGAGTGTCTTCCACGGGTGGGTACAGAAGATAAAAGCTGTTGTCACAAATGTAAAAATATTAAATTAAGAAAAAAGAAAAAAGAAAAATATTATTCGAATTTTGAAAACATGCCTGTGTTGACTCAGTAGATGGTTTGTTAGTCCCTTGAGACGTCCGCCTTCGCTGTCTACATATTAAATTAAGAAAAAAGAAGAATATTAAATTAAAAAAAAATATTAGTTCCCTTGAGACGTCCACCTTCGCTGTCTACATAATTCAGACCAGAGCCCTACAAAAAAAGTAATGCAGACGTAAAATGACTGTTTTGCCCTTCATTTTTAATATTTTCATGATATACATATAAAGGGTATTGTATTATGTAGACCTTTTCATCTCATCCTGCAATCATTGTCCCAACAGAAAAACCCATCCCACGGTAAGAAATAGAGAATGTTGGCAAACATCTTTGAAGCGCCAATCACTGAAATCCTACTCTTGTTTGCCAATTCATGCAAACGACATTGAAATTAAAAAAAAATACAAGTATTGCATATAATATTTCAAAGTAGAAGGCTGTGATACGTAAAAAGGTGATTTTAATACCTTAATGCCTAAATTTATGTGCCAAAACTGATAATCTGCAGCTCCTCCAGCCATTGTCCCGACCTGAGTTTATAATGCTGCATCTATGAATTGAGATAACTATTAATTACAAATTTTATGGAATTTATTAAGGCAAAGATCAACTGTTTCAACAATAGCATAATTTATGTCCTAAACTGACCTTATAAACACTATCAAAGGGAAAATAATAGCATAATTTATGTCCTAAACTGAGCGTAACAATGATCCAACCAGCAAAGCGGCATACGGTGTCATGCTTGGAGCATTTTCAGCTGCATACTCTTCAAACCAATTCCAGAAGATGTCATAGCAAGGCAAATAGATTCCCACCTGTTCAAACAAAATATTATCATTAAGCATTCATTAATGGAAGAAAAAGAAAAAAAAATCAGAGACTTACAGTTGGTATAGCCAATGCAAGGCCAACATTGGTGCCTCGCCATAATCTTCCAAATCCCTCCTAAAAAGACACTCACAAATCTTAAAATGATCAACAATTAGAAAAGTGCTGGACTACAGAATATATATAAGAGGAAGAAGATGACCAACCTGTCGAATAATTTTGTAGAAAACATCAAGTGTTCCTTTGTACTCAAAGCAATCTGGAGGACAGATGGACATTGAACCATGTACTCCAGCACGCGTACATGATGGAGAACATCTTAGATCCGTAAACATCTAAAACAAACAATTACATGATTATCAAGATTGCACAACATTCTAACAAATATTACAAAGAAAACATACCATGTTTGGTCCAAAAACGGCCATTCGACTCGTAAGATTAGTCATTGGATGCGAGTATGCTACACCAGCAGCCTATGCTTGCAGCCTTGTCTGTCAAATCACAATCATACACAAAATGAAGAATCATTACCATGGTCATCAACACCCAATATGAAGTTAACGAGAATGAAGAACAAATTAGCAACATTAATAAGCAACACGTAGTTTTCAAGGGAGAATGATATCTGAATTTGAGTTTGTATGAAAAAATCTACCCTTTTGGGTCACAGGCAGAAGAGATTGCTGAGAAATTTGCGAGTCTTTAGCAATCAGCCGGGTGGGGAAAATGCTTGCTTCTTTTACATCAACAGTGCAGGTGAGTTAGTAAACTCTGTCCTTTTTTGTAATTTTGGGTATTTCATGGTTAGTTGATTTATAAAAAAATATGAAATTGATATCGAGTGCAGGCTGCTATGAAAGATGCTCTTGTTCGTATCTTGACTCCAAGGCATTCTATTGACATTCTGAGAAATGTTCATATTTCCAAGGAGCAAAGGAAACCATATGTTGTGGTGTTTGTTGGAGTCAACAGAGTTGGAAAGTCAATCAATCTTGCCAAGGTATAAAAAAATATTAAAAATTGAATCTTGGCATACAAAAAACAAAAAAATAATATGTGAAATGTTGTGTACATAGGTGGCTTAATGGCTTCAACAGCATGACATCAATGTAATGATGGCTGTATGTGACACTTTCCGTTGAGGGGCAGTCGAACAGCTGCGCACTCATGCCCGTAGGCTCCAAGTATGCAATTGAAATTGACCTTTTTGTCCTCTGATAATCTTCTTCTTTGATTTCCACCTATGAATGCATATATGTATTTTAAATTGGTTTCAGATCCCATCATATATATAATCAAATCAATACTTACAACTGATAACAGGGGCCCCTTTTTGTATTTGTCATGGAATGAAAATGTTAGAGGCTTCAGGTCCTCTCCAAGCCCTCTGATGAACCCACTACATCAATCAATTCATTAAAAAAAAAAGAAATACTTTCTATGAAGTATATGAAACTGCATCATTACCCAGTGAAGACGCACAACAACATGAGAATCTAAAGTGATGCCTCACCATTCATAATACTCATTCCAATTACTTAACTTATTTGTTAATATAGACAAAGGCCCTGCATTTTGAGTTTGTGTAGAGTAGCTTTCAGAAGTAATTTTAAAGGATCTGAAACCAAACCAATGAAATTTTACACCAATACCTTTACAGGGGCATAATTTACTTGAGAGATTCCAGCGCTTATTATACCTTCCAATTAAATGAATAAACAATGAGATCCCGCGTGTAATTTAATCACATGTGTATTGAAACATTGGGAGAAAATAAGGATAAAAAAGGAACCTCAAATGATCCAAGGAAGTAATCAAAGTCGCACAGATACATGAGAGGTAAAACTTAAGGTGTGAGAATATGATTACCTAGAAACATAGACGATGGCAACACGGTGGGTCTGGGTGACTGGGATTGTTCTGGTCTTCATGTAGCGATTTTTATGTAATATCTAAGATTGTTGAGTTCTTTTCCATGAACCGTTCTCACCAATTACCGCCACTACTGGATTCCGATACACTGTTTCCAATATATTTTTCTTCAAACCAATGAAGTCGGAGGTTCGACATTGAAATTGATTTGAACAACAAGAACTAGGGTTTTGGGTCGATTTGATTTTGAAAGAAATGGGATAATAAAAACAAGAATCATCGACATCTGCAACCCATTTTGAGGCGTTGGAAGCAGGAGGAGGTATGGTTTCATCAATTTTGACTGTGCTGGGTGTTGGAATAGATCGTGACAATGGTGTTGGTGTTGTCAATGGAGAAGGCGAGACGAGAAGGAGGAGGATAGAGATGCGATAAAACCTGGTGGAGAAGGAGAGACGAGAATGTGGAGGTGTCGATTAGGGCTTGTTCAATAGGTAGTTTCGATTGACGATTGATGAATTGTAGTTTTTAATCGGCACAGTCTGAGGCTAGAAGAGGCATCGAGGATTGAACGCAGTGGATGTGGGTGAGGGGTAGATGAAAGGGAGAAGAAGGCGGGGGTTTAAAAAATTTGGGGATTTCATTTTCCCTCTAAGACGAAGGAGACGCGCGTTTCTTAAAAAAAAATATAAAGCGACATTCACAAAGGACGCACGTTTTAGATAAAGTGCCCTCCGTGTTTTTAATTTTTTTACATGAGACATTAATTTAAGGGCACGCAGTAATGCGTGACCTAAATCCTTAAAATTTTTGAATAAATGACTCTCTTTTAATGTCACTCTCTTTTGCGTAACATAGATCAATGAGTGTCGTAATTTGCACGTCGTAAAAGGCTGTTTTTCTAGTAGTGAGATTTCGAAACAAAATGGTATTTCAAAGAGACAAGCAAGCAAGAAAGGTTTTTCGCAAACCATTGAGTCCTGAAAGAAGTCAAACATTTTGCTAAATAAAACATCTGAACAGAATAAGTCTAAATTGGTTTAGACTTCTTCTCAAAAGAAAGTTGAAAATAAGAAAAATCCCGCTCTAACTCAGATTTATCTCCAAATAGACCACAAAATGATTTTTCAAAGGCTAAAACTCGAGAGTCAAACTTAAATTTTCAAACAAATGGTCAAACATCAAGTGCAAAGAAGTTTATAAATTATCAATCATCAAGGAATTTCAATTCAAATTGACAAAGAAGGTTTTCCTAAAATGTGACTTTCACACCAAAACAACTAAAATTTCCCTATCCTCCTACAAAATAAGTTTCCCAAGTTTCGTATGTAAAAGGAAAGTCAGATGTGAAAAACATTAACCACTGGTCGAAGGAAAAGGGAAACCATTTCAATTAGGGAAGTTTTCTCAACAATAAATCAAGGATGCTTATGAAACATATTTGAATGAATCTTCGAATGAAAGTTCTTCATCCAAGGAATCAAAGGTTAATGAGAAACGAACTGGAAGCAAATGGTGAAAGTCAGTGAAAATTCTAAACATGTGAATGATTCATTTCCATGCCTTTAAATAACAAAGTTGACATAATTGATTCTCTAAAATCTAATGTTCGTAATTAGATTTTAGGATCTTCATTTCCCAGTGTTGTTCGATCTAATGACCAAGGACTCAAACAGCCTTGGGGACCTAGATTCTTCCACTGATTGCAGGTTTTGTGTGACGAGCAATATGATGAACAAATGGTATATTGATAGTGGTTGCTCTCGTCACATGACTGGAAGAAAGGAAAATCTTCGTGATTATCAAAATTTGGAGAGTGCTGGAGTAGGGAAATTTGGCAATAATTAGAGGATATGGAAAAGTAACGAATGAGAAATTCATAGTAAACTGGGTAGCGTATGTCGAAGGTCTTCAACATAACTTGAAAAAAGTTTTGCAACTTGTTGTGGGCACTGGAAATCAAGTGTTGTTTAATGAAGAAGGAAGTGTTATTTCGACCATACACACGAAGGAAGTATTGCCTAAATCCTAAATAAAAGGTGATATGTTTACTCTTGACATTAGACTAATAGTTGGGATTCCTTCAGTGTGCTTACTTTCGAAAGCTTCATCTGATGTTAGCTGGCTCTTTCATCGAAGAGTTTCTCATTTGAATTTTAAAAATTTGAATAAATTGGTGGTAAATGATCTTGTGAGAGGCTTACATGTGTTAAAATTTGATAATGATACTTTGTGAGCAGCATGCGAATAAGGAAAGCAACATATACAAGGTCATCTCGTTGTCATCGATTCAAAGATTATTGAGCCTTTGGAACTTGTTCACATTGATATTTGTTGACACTCGACTGTTGAGAATCTCAACAAGGAGAGATACATATTGGTCATTGTTTATGACTTTTCGGGGATTACTTCGGTATATTTTCTAAGACTGAAATCTGAAACTCCTCAAGCATATTGAAATAAGTTCGAAAGATCAAGAGTAACAATGGCTCAGAATTTAAGAATAATGTTCTTGATTCATTCTTAACCAACAAAGGAATTCTTCATAATTTCTCTTCACCTTAGGCTCCTCAATAGCATGGTGTTGTAGATAAGAGAAATCATTCACTTTGCGAAGCAGCAAGAACAATGCTCACATATGCGAATCTTCCTCAATGTGACAACCCAAAACTTCTATCTTGTACAATTGGCCAATTCTATCAATGTTAAACTCGATTCTGTCAAATTTTAACACCGTTTAAGGGCTTATTAAAGTATTCTAAGCCAAGTACAATCAAAGTTTGGGTTCTAGGTCGAGTAATACCAAGTGATAGTTCAACAACCAGGCCATAAACCCTCTTGGGAGGAGTGTACGGCTGTACACATGGCTGTGCGACCGCACACCCACCCCACAACCGCACACTCAGGGTGGTGGGTCACCTACCCCTATAAAATATGAGGATACCTCCTCTCTTTCTCCCTTTTCATCTTTTGGCTACACTCTACCACTTTCTCTCTCTAGAATCTTCATCAAAGAAACCTCAAAAGGCTTCAAAAACGTAAGTAATTCATTTCCTAGCTCGTTATGCTTGAAAGATCCATTGATTCTTCATGTTTTTAGCCTTGTTCTTCTTCCTTTGCAGGTGTACGGCTGCACACCTTCATAAGGCCAGCCATACACACCTTAAAGGCTCTCCAAAGTGAGAGTTTAGCCCCTATCTTATAGTTGTGCTTGGTATTAGCCTTAATGCACCTCAAAATCGACATCTTGGGCATGAACTTGGAAAGTGTACGGCCACACACCGCTTTGTACGACCACACACACTTCTTCAGGGCCGTACACCCACTTTGATTTTCACATTTGGCCTTAAACTTGCAAAACCACTAAGTATGGGACCCAGAACACTCCTTGGATGCTTGTAGAACCTTGGAAACACCTAAAAAACACTCCCCATCATGAGTGTACGACCATACACTCATGGGCCATACACCCATGGCCATACACACCCAAAGGGTGGCCGTACACCTCCCCCATTCAATCATATATGGTTCCAACACTTAGTTCAAGCATTTCTAGGTCCTTAGGGTGGATTCA